CCGTCAGAATTGAGAGGCACAGTTTTATTTGTATTTTCTTCTGTTTTTTTTTTAATCCCACGTCATCTGCATCGACGGATGATAGTTTTAATAAAATTGATACAGTTGGAAATCTTTTCCTGAATTCTTTATTTGTTTTGACACATCAACAAAATAAATTAGAATATTTTCGGAAGTCTTCCTATGCCAAACCCTTTCTCCATCATTAATTTAAATAATCTCAGATATCAAGAGTAGAAATAAAGACCTCAAATCTCTTTTCCCTTTTAATGATTGCATCGTAACGCAATAAATATTGAAAGAATATCTAAGTAATCTTCACATATAAAACCTGCCATGCCACCTACACTGCAATGGCTTCCCCCATTCCGTTAATAAGAAGAAAGTTAAATTCGGGCAGCTTCTTACCAAGAACCAGTACTTTATGGAATAGATACCCGAGAGAATGCTTCCTGAAAATGCATTCTTTTTACTGAAGTCTCGTCTGAGCATTCACTGATCCTCGACTGTCTTGGACTCCACCTTGTTGCTAGATTATGGAGGGTTTATTGAGAATGTGCACCTGGATGTGTGCATTGCTGTACACACGTAACTCAACCACATCCCGTTCCTTCTTGAAAGGAACTGTCACTATTCCTTGGTATTAAGTCATAAGCTGTTACATTGGAACATTCAAGTTACCGTGACAAAAATGCATATTTATTTCGACGTTCAGAGACGTTTCGTCAGGCGAATAAAAATGGCTGAACATCAAAACTAATATGCATTTTTGTCGCAGTAACTTGCATGTTCCATTGTAACAGCTTATAATAAATATTTAATGCTCTACTTCTTGTACTTAACCCTTTTTAAATTAATGTTATGGACGTTTGAATCTATATTCTTTTCGTTCTTTTACATTTGGAGATACATAAAAATTTTGACAAATGGAAACGTTTCATGAAATAGGTTTGAAAATGCATTATGTCATGAAAGATGAAATGTGTTATTAAATGTAAATCATACTTCCATATACATATATATGAACAGCGGGAGCACCAGTCCATATATGGCAGCAGTATTCCATGCAAGGACAAATGGTTGATTTATAGATCTGAAGGATGGGTATATTAGAGAGGAAAACTGGAACAGAAGGTCACAACAATAAGAGGGATCATCATTTCAACTTAGAGCTAAATAGATCAATTAGAAAAGATCCAACTAAAGCCATAAAACGTTTCGCACGTGAGAATTTCAGTTATGGCAGTCCAAAGACTACTGAAAAAAAGACTTGAAAATGAAATCGTAAGTGAAACCTATGAAACACCTTTTTTACTCCAGGACTGAAATTTAGAAGTTTAGAGAGGGCGAAGACCATTTTGAATAAGTTGGAAAATGGTCCTGGAATAATATATATATATATATATATATATATAAACTTAATTTCAGTATTTCATGAGCTTCCGCTCCTTAGCTGTGATTAATGGTGAACATGTCATTTTCGTGTATGATGGATTTCATCACGATTCTTCTATTAAGTTTGGAGAGTAATTATACATTCTTATTGCTCAAAGAAGAGTTCAGTAACATCTGAGAATTCCAGTAAGATATCTTCAATCAGTTGTTAGATAGAACGGTACAAACCTTAAACTAACAATTGCACAATTTTGTTGTTACACCTGATATATATATATATATATATATATATATATATATATATATATATATAAATATATATATAAAACTAAACTTTCCAAGCCTTTTAAGTACATCTCGGTCATTATCCAGAACTAAATGTTCTCATTATCATAGACAAGTGTTGTTACCTTCATCCTTGCATTTTTGGAATGCTGTATTAATTTAAATAAACATTTAACGTATAAGTGGCGTCATGTGTGAAACGGCTTCACACAGCTTGAAAGCATCAGAAACGAATATATTATTATATATTTTATATGAATTGGAAAATAGATTAAAATATTAAACCCTGGTCTTGTCCGTTGAAAATATATATATATATATATATAATATATATATATATATATATATATATATATATATATATATATATATATATATATATATATTTTGAATAAAAAACAGACCACGTTAAGATTCCATGTAATAAGTTATTTCATCATAACCCCTTTTTTGGGTTCTGATCATCAGACTTTACTTCCAAAAGTTGAAATGAAAAATTAAATTTTAAAATTAATTTTAATTTTACATTTCAACTTTTGAAGTAAAGTCTGATGATCAAGAACCCTGTTAAAGGGGTTATGGTGAAATAACTTATTACATGGAACCTTAAAGTGGTCTGTTTTTATTCAAACATATTTGCTCTGAATTTTACATTGAGCTCTCTGGATATCATCCTCCTCGGGTCTACCCATACGGATTACCTAAGTTTGCATAATATATATATATATATATATATATATATAAACAGTCTGGACATAGAAATCAACATTGTCGTATGAATGGAAGTTTCACGCCTTAAAAGTTCATCAGGCTGTTGTTCATCTTTGCGCAGGTTGTCTCATATATATAGTCCTGAGTATGACGATAAACTACATCTGGCAGCAAGGCCTCTGAGATTGGAAGATTTTGTGGAGCGTGGAACCATGTTTTAATTACTGTTATTCCTATATCCACCCAGACACGGGGTCGAAGCACCTGTTAGGGTCCCAACTATGTGCAAATAGTTAACACCCAAACTGGAGCCAAAACACTGTGAAAGTATAAAAATCCATTTTTATAGTAAAAATACCAGCAGGAAATTTTCATTGTTAAAAAAAAAATTACCACTAATACAATTTTGTAAAAAAAAATACCAATACTCCCAAGAAAATTAAATTTCGGCATTAAATGACCCATAAGGTGTTGATATGCCAAACAATCTCTCTCTCACTCACTCACTCACTCACTCACTCAAAGGATATTAAAAATTATAAAGAAGGCACAGCGGGGTAATGGATAGTGGCTCAAATTGAGAAATCGAAGATCCTAGTTCAAATTAGTCAAATCTGTTAAGTTCACTTATGTGCTAAGACCCTTGGGGGGAGGTATGAAAGCTCTTCTTCTCTCCCATCCCCGCAGAACAGACTGGGCTCTATAACCTTGGATGGTAACTGGTCTACCACAGAAAGAAATAGCAACCTATATATATATATATATATATATATATATATATATATATATACTATTGATGATTTGGAGAATTTTACGGATTATTTCTAGTCCTGACATTGAGTTTATTTCATATATTGATGCTGTACATGAGAGAGATGAGAAATTTCGAGCAACGCCTATGAAAACAAGTGGGCCGCACCTCATGATGCGGCTGCTAAATAATATTTTCCCCAGCTGTCTGCATGTACGTAACTCCTGATCTATTATTCGATATTGTATTGCGCACTGTTAGTGAAAAATAATCTAAATTTCAAATACCGATTTCAAAGACAAGCAGGATTTATTTAAAAACTACCGCTACTATGCAATCTTGCACCAAGATGTGCGGGTGGGGTAATAGATATAATCTCAAAATGAGAAATCGATGAACCGAGTTCGAATTCCAGTCGGGTTCGTTATATTCGCTTAAGTACAAATACCCTCGTAAAGAGGTAAGAATCTATCCCCTTCCCCCGATTAGTAGTTAAATAGTAGGACTTAGTCTCAGAAAAAGTTTTAATGCAATATTCACTCGGGAAAAAAATGAACTAATTTTATCGTCTAAAATAGGTTTCAGCCTTAAATAACCCACAAAGGGGGGTGATGAAACGTAAAAAAAACCCCAAATAGAAAGAGTTGTGTACTCCAGTTCAGTCAGTTATATGCCATGTGTGATAAACACTTAGGCGATCATGTATCTTTCGATGCATGATTGACGAGGCAGATTTTTCCCTGCAGTAGGTTGCTATTTCTTTCTGCTGTAGACCAGTTGCCATCCAAGACTATAGAACCCGGACTGTTCTACTATTTACCCATAGCTGGTAGGAGAAGAGGAGGATTCATACCTTTCTCAAGGGTATTAGCACGTAAGTGAATGTAATGGATTCGACTGGAATTCGAACCCGTTTCTCTGATTCCTCAATCCGAGCCGCTATCCATTACTCCACCGTGTCTTCAATTATATATCCGTTTTCCAATAAAATCAGTGTTGTCCAAATAGCAATAATATGAATAGTCAATTAATAAAATTTATTCGGATACTACAGCAAAAAACTTGCTGACTTAACGAAAATGAACTTATAAATCAGTGTTAATCAAAAACTCCTATTATTTGCAAGTCGATAGACTTTTATGATATATGAATGTACTCATCTGAAGGTATATAAACATTTATTATTTGTTTATCACTCTAATGTTGTTGCATAGCCCCTCGTGCTGGGGAGCTCTTGAGCGTCGGCGTCGATTCCATAATAAAGTTGTATTCTTCTTTCACGGCCAGTGGTCGCTAGTTGCTTTGTGTCCAGAGGTAAAAGAACTTGAATACGGGGAATTTTAACTTGACTATTCTATTAATGTTCTATCTAACCAGTGGGGGTTGTTTCGTAGACTGGGGAGCTGTTTCAGGCACGAAAGAAAACAAGTCTGTTTGACAGTTAAAACTCGACTCACTGAAAACACTTTCTCTATACCTGTCATTCCCTCTCTGGCTCAGCCAATCAAAATCGACTTCCTTGTTTTGTCTTCCATCTGATCTCTAAGGTCAGGAAGTCCGAGCAGAGATCTAAAAAATGTCTGATAAACTATTATTTAACACTATGTCTAAAGAACACTCTCCTCTCATCAGACTGATTTCATTTGTTTTCTTCGGCTTATCAATCAATATTTTTGGATTGTAATTTTTTTTTTTTTTTTTAGATAATTAGTAAGATTTGTATCACTAAACTATTATAAGCTGGGAGATAAAGGGTATTTGAGCGTAAGTGAATATAACCAACCCAACAAGTATTAGAACTCGGCTCTCCGATTAACAATTCCAAGCCATTATCTGAAACACCAGCCACACATCAAAACTTGCATCACCTGGTATTCCCAAGCGGTAACCCATCTAGGTACTGATCAGACTCAACGTTGCTTAACTTCGGTGATCGTACGGGGACCGGAGTTTCAACGCGAAACTTCAAACTGTCGATGACACCGGACTAAACTCTGAGGTCAGCTCAGCAGAGTTCCGGTATAAAGTAAAAATATGCCTGAGCAGGTGTCTGCAACAGGGATTGGCTATTGGGTGTACCCGGAGACAAGACGCCGGCCATTAAATCAAATTATTCGTTATATGTTTACAGAAACCATCAAGTTTTTTTTTTAAATTTTCCCTACACTCCGATTAATTGCGTTGTGTACTTGTGAGAGTATAGTGTGTCGGAAATACAGACTGTATCAAAAACACTTTAGAGCCGGGTTCCTCTCACCAAAATAAGGACAGGAGTCCATATAAATATATGCCTGCAATTTCTTCGTTTTTGAGTTAAGTTTGAAGGAAGTTTACTGTAGATGGCGCTGTGTTACATTTCTAGCTAGTCTGTATTTAACATTTAACATGTGTAATAATGAGTTAACTGAGAAGTGTTCCGTTTAACTATGAGAGGATATTCATATCGTGAGCAGGCAGAGATGATTTTTACATACGGCCGCGCGAATGGTAATGGACGTGAGGCTGCACGGCTGTATCAGATTACGTTTCCTGTCCGAAGGCAGACGAGTCATCCAACTTTTGCTGTTTTATCATCACGTTGCTGAGACAAGATCCGTGGAACTAAAAACTATAGTTAGAGGAAGACCGATATCCTCTCGTACGCCTGACCACAAACAACACATTCTACAGCATCTGTGGTAAACTTTAAACTTAATAACTCAAAAACGAAGGATTTGCGGACATATGTCAGGAACTCTCTCCCAAAGTTTGTAAAAATATTTTTGACAAACCCTGTATAGCATTTTGACGATCGTCTTTTAAGCAATCAGTTCTCTCCCTCCATGATTTCTTTTCCCTTTTCTTCGTGCTCATTTTCATTCTAATATCTTGAACATTATCTTTCTTACGCCAAGCAGATTGTTTGCTTTGTGTACAAAGACGTGAAGCTGCAAGGTCACCTGATGGTTACCGGCATGGTTAAAAGGACTGAGTTCGGATTTCAGCGTTTGCGTTCCATTTTAACAAGCACCCTTGGGAAAAGGCATGAATCTGCTTGTGTTGTGTACCATTGCCGGATATCTACGCCAATAGGCCCTGTCGCTAGCATGTCATATTGGTTGAGACGGAAAAGATGTTGAGTGATTATATAAGCAAGCCACTCTCTCAGAACTATCATAAATTTCAGACAATGAAAGCAAGAAAAAGTAAGATTTTTTTTTTGCACCTCTTGTCAATCTTCATATTAACCAGTAAGATAAGATACAAATATGTTGGAGCATGTGGCTTGTTTTTTTTTCCATCTGCTTCAGAGACTGCAGCAGCATTTTTCCAGGGAATACGAGCCACGTGACAATGACGTCATTTAAATTATTTGAAGAAAGAAAAAGCTGCTGATCGTAAGGTAGACATATTAAAATAATATTGACGGAAGTAAAGAAAGGTTAACAGACGACTAGAAGGCGTTGAATTCAAGAAAGGAAGAGAAAATCAAAAGAAAAAAGAAGACAGAGAAAAGAAGTAAAGACTCTGACAAAAATGAGCAAGATGTCATAGAAAAGAGATCTTGAAAAAAAATTAGAATGCTATAATAAAAAGCGACTCTGATAGAAATTAGGATGCCGTAATGAAGATTGACAAAAAGGATGAATGATGTCGTAATATAGAGATCCTGACAAAAATGAGGAAGGCGTAATAAAAAAAATAAATAGAGACCCTGACGAAGATGAGGGAGACATAATAAAAAAAATAGAGACCCTGACGAAAATGAAGAGGCGGCGGTAATGCAAAGGAGAAATAAACTCTGTTAAAATTGAGAAAAAAAATTGCAAGCAGAAGAAGCAGTTAAATGGAGGTGGAATCAAGAAAACACTGAAACACACTGCGTAAGCAGTGGTTACCAAGCAAAGAGAAGATCTACCAACAGCGATGTAGCTGCGTTGGAGGCGATTTTCATGTCAGGGATGCCGACACTACTGCTGTTTTTGGAGGCAAAAATAAACGCGAGGAAGTAAAAACATAAATAAATAAATAAAAGGAAGCCAGCGGTCGGGTGGGTAGCAGGACATTCCGTTTGTTCGTTATTTCTTGAATGAGAGGAATGCAAATTCACCAATTTAACCAGCCAACTTCTCAATCGTACCTTCGTCTTTCTTTCTCTCTCCTCCTCAGTTCTCCCCCAAATATCCCAACTCCACTACTTTGAGAAATGCATGGCGATCATTCCAGACGTGTGCACCACCTGGCTGGTTGGTTAGTGGATGGTACAGGGGCGAATTAGGCCGAGAGGAGAAGAAAATTTTCGGTTGTCGAACCAAGAGGCGCCAAACATTTATTTTACACGGTGCATTGTGATAACTTAAACAACTAGACTGCGTCTGCACAGAACAAAAGGGAAAGTGGGAAGAAGAAAAAAAAAGAAAGCATAAAGAAAAAGAAGGAGGGGGTATTCAGGGAAAACACGAAGATATTGCAGTAAAATTATACAACATTTAATTGAGGTTCAGTGGAAAAAAGTAAGGATCTCAAAATTCCATACATGTATTGTCTTAAATATAATGGTCGGCCTCTCGCTCCCGAGTATTGCCATCTGCTAAAGTTGCTCGCTAATCCCTGTTGTAAATGTACATATACGTTTCTTCAGCGCCCACTGTGTTTTATACTGCAACTATGCTGAGCAGACCCCACTTACAGATTCTGTGATCGTATAATCTGGCGTGATGAGTCGCTGAACGAGGACTTAACAATTTCATGTTATCAAAATTATCGATGACTTCCGAATCGATTGACGTTGTTTGACTGTGCTTGCCATGGAGCGAAAGATGCTGGTAACAATTATATAGATGTCTAGAATCAATTATTTAAATTTTGCATATTTAAATCTAACTATTTGGCAATAGGCATGACTCATCTTATTGCTGACACCTGTTCAGATACATTTGCTTTGTTTTGATTTAAGGCATATCAACTTCAAATGGTTATTTAATGCCTATATATATATATATATATATATATATATATATATATATATATATGTGTGTGTGTGTGTTTGTAATGTATTCTTTGTAACAGAACCACTTTTATTTGGCTTGTTTTACGGCATATCAACCTCAATGGGTTACTTAATGCCGACAAAATTTTTATTGCTTGTAATATTTTTTTCCAAAAAGGTATTGCTGCTAATACCAAAATATAGCTGGTAATATTTTTTCTTCAAAAATTTATTTCTGGTAATATTTTTTTACAAAAAAGTATTTCTGTTACTAAAACCTATTTTTACACTTTCATAGTGTTTTTACCCCTGTTAGGGGGTTGACATTTTGCGCATAGCTGGGACCCTACCGGGTTAGGGTGGACCTGGGAACACCAATAGTTAAGAGATGGTTCCACACTCCTCAATCAGAGGCTTTGCTGCTGGACGTAGTTTATCGTCTTACCAAGGACACGGAGTAAGTTTATCGTCTTACCCAGGATGGCAGGCACGTTTGTAATTCTTCAACACCCACAATGTCCGCCAGTGTTATATACGCTATCTATGCTGTGCAGTCTGTAATTACAATTTCTGGGAGATCGCGTATAAAATGATGTGATTAGAAGGCCAGTACGCATGCTCAAAATATTGGTCACGATCCTTGCGTTCAGTTTGATCTACACAATTCCACTCATAAGTTTTGGGTCTACTAATATTGTCTGTAACAGTTTCAGCCGTTGTGTTCTTCAGCCTTCTTCAGGTATCTGTCGATTCGGGTAACCTCTATTCTTTGTCCCACTATCCATGTCTTAGTTAGTTGATTGATTGATAGTTTTTTACGGCTTATCAACCCTCTGCAGGTTATTTTAAAACCAGAAAATATTTTCAGATTTTAAGTTTTTTTTCTTTCTTAGATGTATTCATAGCTTTTTACATTATTCGGATTATTTTCCTCATCTTTGTCGCCATATTTATTATAACGTTTCGGCCGTTGTGCGCTCCGACCTTCTTCAGGTGGTTGGAATGTCGAACTGAACCCTTTATTTCGCTCGCTGGGGTAGACTGTTCTAGTTCCACGTGCTATGTTTTAATGGATGTCAGTTATCAGTTATCTCTTTATAATTCCCCTCTCCAAGTTCTCCACTGAACCAGGTATTGAACTCACGCTATTTGCGTCCTGTCACGGGATCTAACCAAAGCCTTTATCCACTGTGCCATGTGTCCTTGAGGAAATATAGACAGATTCATACCTTTGCTAAGGATAATTGTGAGTATGAACGAGTCCAATGCGAATTGGAACTCGGCATTTCCGAGCCATTATCCATTACACCATCTGCACATCCAAGCTTACAGCACCTGGTATTCCCGAGCAGTCATCCATCTAGGCACTGACCAGGTTTGGTCTGATTTGTTTTACGGCATATCAATCTTAATGGGTCATTTAATGCCGACAGTATTTTTATTGCTGGTAATATTTTTTCCAAAAGTATTTTTGGTAATATTTTTTCCAAAAACGTATTGCTGGTAATAATGGCAATGACCAAACTCGAAGCTGCTTAACTTAGGTGATCGTCCGGGACGCGGCGTTTCAACGTGATATGGCCGTAACCCTTCTTGTCTTGGGATATCTTTTTCTTTTTGTAGTATTACTCAGTTATTATTCACTCTCTTTCAACTGAGTTCATATTCAATTTTATTCGGACGCCCAACGGGAATCGGTGTTTCAACGTGATCTGGTCGCAAGCATGTCCTGAAATAACATGGCACATAAAAGAAAAAGAGAGCTAACCTGTGTAAATGGTTAGTAGAAAAGGGATTAAGAAAGATGGCAAAAAAAAAAAAACTTTATTAAGGGCTACAAGAGTCAGGAAGTTGTGAAGAGCCATGATCGACCATGTACTGAATACACTGCTCATAGAAGAAGAAAAAGAATGAGCCTGTGTAAATAGTTGGCATAACAGGGATTAGTAGAAGTGGCAAAAAGACGAAGTTATGGAGAGTCATGATCGC